ACCGGCACCCGCCCCGCCGGCACCAACGAAATTGTTAATTGCAATTTTAAGTGCTGATTTACCACGTGCTCGGCGGTGAAGGAAAACATCGTGAGGAAACCTGCATGTCTGAGGAATAAGAAAAAAATACTTTCGAAGACATGTGAAGTTCGTCAACACGCATTGGGGCAGCGCGGCGGACACTTCCTTGCACCCTCATGAGTGGGGCCTGAGCCCAGCAGTGGGACGTATATAGGCTGTAACTTTACTTTACTTTACTTTTACTTGCCCTAAGCCGTGCTCGAAAATGAATCGCGCGAGTCTCGACTGAGACCGTGTCATCATCATAAACAGGATTATTCTTAAATAAATCTGATATTATGTGGATGGGTCGGGCACAGTCAAGGATATTTTTGGACGACGTCACCATTTCATATGAGAACATCGTTAAAGCCTATACAGATAACAATACAAAATATCTGCATTTCTGACACACGAGGTAACCGATAGGTATGTAAGGTCTGCTGAGCAAAATTATTCCTGTAGTCGTTTCTACGAAAGGGTCCTGGTCAGTCTGTCCGATCATCTCCGTGAAGACCAATTCGGGCTCAAATACAGAAAGTGGCTCGAATAAGTCTCCATCGTCCACAAGTATCTTTTCTTTTTCTCCTAACCCTCATTTTGTCTCTACTATAATATTTAGAATAATTTTTACTGTATTTTATTTAGTTTTATCATGTTTTATCTATTTATATATAAATATAGCTACGACACTACAGTAGCCTAATGGCAAGGAGCGGACCGCGAACTCAAAAAGGTCGTGGGTTCGAATCCGCCGTTCGACTACTGGCGTGAACCACTCTTAACACCAGCAATTTATGCGGACCACGAGTGATTAAGGGGAATATTAGTAATGTTTATAGCATTGTTAATAGATACACACAATTACGACACGACAGCAGCCTAATGACAGGGCGCGAACCGCGAACTCATAAAGGTCGTGGGTTCGAATCCGCCATTCGACTACTGGCGTGAACCACTCGTAACAGCAATTTAAACTTACCACAAGTGGTTAAGTGGAATATTATGTAGTAATGTTTATAGCACTGTTAATATTCCTTAAAAAAATATACGTATTTCAACCCTCCGAACCAAACGGGAATATTATGTACGATTGTAATAATAATGTATCACAACGGCCAGCCTCAACGGAGACATGTCCGCTCACATCTATTCCTTTATTCTCATATCTCTCTTATAGTCCGATGGACCGCCAATCAGACTCGAGAGAATAGAGATCAAGTGCAGGAACAACGGCTTTTCGCGCTTCCCGAGGGTCGGAGTGAAACACCGCCAAACTTCCTGACTCCGGGCTGCTCTACTGAGAATTTCTTGACAGAAAAACTCGACAACTGATTACTGGCGGATTCTAACCCGGGATCTCGTGATCGGTACGCGCGTTTGCGATCACTTGACCGACGAGGTAGCCGTTAGGGATAAGTTGCTTCTGAAATCGTATATTTGTTAATTAGAGCGTAATATTTGATTTAGAGCCACGCCTCTGCTATATTATGGTTATAGCACTAATGGGTCTAAAGGACAACTTTTATTACTAAAAATTTTTTTGAATTCTAAGTGTTTAATTATTATTTAATTTATTTTATTATATATTCATTATTCTTATGAATAATGAACATATTTATAGCCAAGGAATTCGTCTAACTTGTAGTACTTAACATTAATCCTCAACTTTATCATATATTTATTTCAAAATTAATGCTATAATATTTTCGGCATAACGGAGGATCTTGCTAAGCCATTTGAGGTAGGCCCTAAAGTTGTCATTTTTGGTCTCAATGAAAATTTTCTGACGCATTTGTTAAAAAAAAAACAGTGTCACTAAATATCTATAGTATAATTTAAATCATTATATGTCAATAAGTTTTGTGTTTACATTAAAATTGACAAGTACGAATTCTAAGCGTAATAGGGCTTTCAATAAAAAGTTAAGTCGCCCGTTATCCAATAGACAAAATTTATTTAAGATCATCAATTCAAAAATCAATTCGAGCACTAAAGTAAAATTAAAAGAGACGCAAGAACAGATGAAATGGAGGGGAAAGTGTTACACTGTTCGGATGAAACTATAAGTGCTTACATACTATTATATACTACTTTTAATACGTGGTAGAGCCATGCTGTAGTTATATTAGTAGTATAGTTGTAGCACGAATGGGTCGACTCGACCGGGGAAGGACCACGCTCTCACAGAATATCAGCGTAAAGTAGTAGCTTAATGCTGCTGTGTTTCGTATGGTGAGTGTAGAGAACCGGAGACCCTTTTACTGGAAACGAGGCATTCCATCTTAGTCCTCACGGGTGACAACGCATCTGCATTTTGATTCGTAATCGAGGATAGATGTAGATGTCTATGGGCCACAGCAACCACATACCATCAGGTGGACTGTGTACTCTTTTGTCATCCTTATCCTATAAAAACAGGACCAATGACTTTTTATGCCCCCCGAGTGGCTGCGTGAAACACCGCCAACTTTCTGACTCCGGAGCTAGGCAGAAAACTCAATATCTGATTGCTGCCCGACCTGGAATTCAAACTCGGGATCTCATAATCGGTAGGTGCGTTTGTGATCACTTGAAATCGTATACGTTTTTTTATTTCTTTTGTTTTTAAACGTTACGACGTAATATTTGATTATTAATAGTTAGTAAAGTTACATCCTATTTACGTCCAACTGCTGGGCACACTCCTCCCCTCATTTCTGAAAGGGTTTTAGAGCAAGGAGTGTCCGCTGCGCGGCGCCAATGCGTGTTGGCGAACTTCACATGTCTTCGAAATATTTTTTCTTATTTCTCAGACATGCAGGTTTCCTCACGATATTTTCCTCACCGCCAAGCACGTGGTAAATCAGCACTTAAAATTGCAATTAACAATTTCATTGGTGCCGGCGGGGATCGAACCCGGTTTGCTCGCGTACCGTGAATTTGATTATTAGTCACGCTTTTGCTATATTATGATTATAACACGAATGTGTCTGAAGAACCACATTTACAGAAGACCAGCGTGAAATTGCGGCTTAATGCTGTTGTGATTCATACTTAAAAAATCCACTAATATAAATTACTTTAATGGAAATTTTTAACGAAATCCCGAAGGCACAGCCTTTTATTGCCGCGTTAGTCAAACCGGATGAGCCATTAGAGTGACGTATTAAGTCAACAGTGCTTTACAAATGCCCTACCTAGTGCTTAATAAGGGTTTTATAAGGGCGGTGTCCGGTGATAGTTAGCAGAAAAATCATTTGACAGTTTTTTTTCCCCCATGAGTCCTTGACCTAATTTTGTTCGACCACTTTGTATAAAACTAATTTCACGGAGTTTATACTGTTGATTTTACTTTAATTACCAACGTTACGGACGATTTAAAGCATCCAGGGGTCACTGACGGGGGTATTGGTATGAGGTATTTGAGGTCCCGATATCATAGTTAGCCCGACTACCTTAAGCTTTTGAATACTAATTATTCGTCAATTATCGGTCGGATCGACGCAGAACGAGCTTACAGTATCTAGAAGTCTTACAGTGGTATGATTGGTTTGGCTTGTTTAGATCAACGCAATAAAATTTGAAAAATTAGTTCTATTCAATGTCTAGTATTCTTATAAGTATAAGAAATCATAATGTGTGTGGCGGCACTGTCGTTTTTTTTTATAAAGCATAGGATGACAAAGGAGCACACAGTCCACCTGATGTTAAGTGGATGCTGCGGCCCATAGACATCTACATTAATCCTCAATTAAGAACTAAAATGTAGATGGGTTTCACCCTTAAGGACTTAGATGGAATGCCTCGTTTCCAGTAATAAGGGTCTCCGGTTCTCTACTCTCACCATACTAAATACTGCAGTATTAAGCTACTATTTAACGCTGATATTCTGTGAGCCGACATATTCGTGTTAAAACCATATTATAGCTACAGCGTGGCTCTACTCCGTCACGTCACAAGCGAAACACACCGAAATCTAAATCGCGCTATTAAAGTTCCGACGTACTGCAGTATATATAGTGGAAGACAAAGGTGGGAGATCCCATCTTTTACTTACACGGCCATATGTAAACCAGCCACTTACTTCAATTTATATAGAGTTAAGGGTAATAACAAAACCAAGGTTACTATCATAGCCTTCCTTGTTATAGGCTAAAGTGACATTGGGCTGGTCACATTTGTCGCAGAAGCGATTACTGTTGTAGTAGGCGTGTCATAGAGAAGAAATGTGTCGCGCTTTGGGAGAGAGCCTGCCTGATTATGACAGGCTGCCAGGCTTTCCATCTTAGTCCTCAGAGGTGGCAACGTATTTATAGCCTTCTTTGACCGAACCTGGTTGCAGGATGCTACCCATGGATTAGAGTAGTCACTTACCAGGTGAACAGTTAGTTCGTTTGTGTAAAATTTTAGTAAGAACTTTGCGAACACAATATACCTGTTAGAGACACGCTGGAGCTATATTTGAAAAAAATAGAAAAGAAACTTTTTTATTCAATGTAGATAATACACAACACCAAAAAAAACCTCTTGGAAGAACCAGCAAGAAACGCATTTTTTTCAATAATAGCTTACAATCATGAAGCACAATGGGTCGGCTCGACCCGGGAAGAACCACGCCCTCACAGAATACCAGCGTAAAATAGCGGCTCAATGCTGCTGTGTTTCGTATGGTGAATGTAGGGATCGGGAGACCTGTTTTACTGGAAGCGAGGCATTCCATCTTAGTCCTCAAGGGTGACACCGCGTTTGGGTTTTGATTGTTAATCGATGTTAAATGTGTGTCTATAGGCTACAGCATCCATTTAGCATCAGGTGGACTGTGTGCTCGTTTTTTACCATTATTTTATAAAAAAGAACAGAAAAGCGCCAAGTCAAGTTATAAGTTATAGACATATGATTATCTTTCAGAACGTCTGTCTGTATAAATATAATGTACTGTATTAACATAATTGTCACAGGTTCTGTCCGTCGGTTTTCATCTATTTGGGTCTGGTGGTGCCCGCGATATGGCTGATCGAGCTGCACAAGGTAGACCTTCGACTGCAGAAAAAGGCCAACCTCACTTACATCGAAGTAAGTCTTTTATGTAAATATTACTTTTTATCGTGGTAGAGCCATGCTGGAGCTATATTAGTAGTATACTTGTAGCACGAATGGGTCGGTTCGACTGGGGAAGGACCACGCTCTCACAGAATACCAGCGTAAAATAGCACCTCAACGCTGCTGTATTTCGAATGGTGAGTGTAGAGAACCGGAGACCCATTTTACTGGAAACGAGGCATTCCATCTTAGTACTCACGGGTGACAACGGATCTACATTTTGATTCGTAATCGAGGATAGATGTACATGTCTATGGGTCACAGCAACCATTTACCATTAGGTTGACTGTGTGCTCGTTTGTCACCCTTACCTTAAAAAGAAAAATTACTTAAAAGAGCCTGTTGATAATGTAATGGGATCGAACGCACAGACAAAACCCTCGGTTTCCCCGAAGAGGTCACCGAAACGTAGCCAGTTGAGGGAGACGGCTGTATCTACGTTGGGCTCATGGCCCTTTAATACCTCCCGTGGAGCTCCTTCTCCTTCCATACGGTCTCCCGGTCGGAAATGCTCTGTACTGCCGGGTCCTGCCATTGCTCGTTGACTAAGGATAGAGGGGTAAGTCCTTTATCACTAGAAATGACGTCATTATAGAATGGATTATCCGATCTCGCCAGGAAGTAATGACGGATGCTGCACACTTCTCGATTATGCATGGTGAGCGCACTCAAGAAGCCACGCCCACCATGCTTGCGGTAAGTACAGCCTCATTACCGACGATCTCGGATGATGCATCCTACGGGACGTCATTGTAGTGCGGACTTTTCTATCCAGGGCGTTAAGTTCAGTCTGACTCCACCTGAGTATGCCAAAGGTATACATGAGGACAGGCATAACCCAGCCATCTTGTATATGGTCGGTAAACACGTGATGGGGCGATATTTGCTCGGGTCTGTGGCACCCTGATCTTTAGGAACCAAATGAGTGATCCCAGTAGTGAAGAGGCTCGGAAGTGACTTCTGGTTGAGAGCCTCTTGAAACTATCGGGCGAGCACAGTGTGACACACCACAAACCCCTTCAGCCAGTAGTGATGCAGCCCGTCAAGCCCCGGACTTTTCCCGTTCGGGGCTCTACGGACCGTCTCAGCTACGTCATCCTGCGTTAAGATGATGGGGTCCATGGGCGTAATACAAGCACACTGACTCGCCACAACTTCCGTCCAAGAGCCTGTTGGGGCCCTGACCACAGGATGCGCCAGAATGCGACCGTGTCGGCCTGATTCGGTACTGGGCCCGTTCCACTTATCATTGGTCGCTCCAATGGTTTATAGAGCCTCTACTGATCACTCTGGAAGAGACGATTCTGGTTGAACCGTGTCAACCCCTCGGTATATCGCCGAATCCGCTTTTCCCAAGCAGCGATTCTCTGCTTCAGGTCGTCTATGCCCTCCGTCAGTTTTTGCATTGTATCCGGCTGGGACAAACTAACATTTGTCGCAGCAAACGCCATCCTGACAGTGCGCACAATCCTTGGCCTGGTATTGCCTGACCTGAATCATATCAGTCTGCCGATGAGGGCCTTAGCCTTTGCGATACATTCTTAAATTCTTGTTCACCAGGCTGGGATAGCACTACTTTGTCCAGTAGTGCGTCCAGCCATGGAAACTTTGGCGCCTATAATACGGCAGACTGCCAGTGCGGCGCCAAAGAGAATTGAGTCCGTCTCGCAAAGTTCCCGGCTGGCTTCCAAATAGGTCACCAGCATTGGGTTCAGAGCCCTCACGATAGCCCGATTCCGCCTGCTTAGGGCTATGCGGGAAAGTCGCGGTCGGTTATTATTATTATTAATTTTCTATTCCCTCACTTTCATAGTCCAATGGTACAGCAAACTGACATTATCCGGAGGAAGATTATGACCAGGATAAACAGCTTTATTTTCTTTCCGAGGTACGGGAAGGAATACACCGTCAACTTCCTGATTCCGGGATGCTATTGCTATTTTTGTTATTTTGCTTATTTGCATATTGCTATGCTAGTTATTTTGACAGAAACATTCCATAACTGATTTTTGGCCCGACCTGGGAATTGAACCCCTCATTATCACAAATCGTGCTTACGACCACTATACCAAGGAGGCAGTCAAATAATATACCTATCACTTAATACATGATATAAACTAAGTTTTATAAGAAGTTATTAAAACATTCTATTGATTAAAATTTTATTTCTAGACGGATATTCCGCTGCCAGGCGCGAACAAGCTACAAACAGACACGTGGGTGACGCTTATAGAACAGTTCCTCATGCTGACGCTCATAGTGGGCCGCTGGTTGCTGCCGAAAGGCGACTTAACGCGGGACCAGCTCAGTCAACTTCTACTTGTGTATATCGGTGAGATGCAATTAAATCTTTCGCTCGTTTTGGCCACAACTTGTGCAGTTATCATTGGAAGCTAATAGCTTTTTTATAGAAGAGGGGGCAAAGGGACAAAAGACCATGCGGCTCACTTAATGGTAAGTGTTGACCGCCGCCAATGAACAACTGCAACATTAGGGGAATTGCAGATGCGTTGCCGGCCTTCGAAGAAAACTTGGGTTCTTGATGAAGACAACTGACGTTCTTAATAGTAAAAATGACATCGTTATTATTTAATATAGATTAAAGGTACTTTTATACTTTTACCACTGCTTCGGAAAAAACCTCTGTCATCGAAAGAATCAGCAAGAAACCCGGCAGGACTTCTCTTTCAAAGTATATTGTAAAATAAAAACACAGATTGTACTTTAAAAAGTTAAATAGTATAAATATATAATAGTTTTTAATAAATGAAATGTATAGTGGTTTTGTTGAATAATTGTATACTTTTCTATTGGCATATCATGAGGAAATTAGGACAAGTTTGAAGTTTTACACAGTGTGTAAAATTTCGTTAAAATCAGTTTAGTAGTTTAGGAGTTCATCGCGGACAAACAACGTGACACGTAATTTTTATATATAAAGATCACTTACAAAAATCTTAGAAATCGTTACATCGTAAAAAACAGCATAGAAGCTACCAGCTCATTCCCTGGCGTAATTATCGACCATGTATTCATTTATAATATACTAGGTATACAGATTAGTAAGCTAAAATGGCAATGCGCTCGAAGAACCGACGTCCGATGGGGATAAAGGTTCTCGAGTGCCTCAGCCTCATACCGGTAGGCGAAGAGTAGGGCGACCCCCCACTAGGTGGAGTGACGTGGTGTTAGGACATGCAGGTAGTCGATGGATGCAGATGACTCAGGACCGCGCTTTGTGGCATTCCTTGGGAGAGGCAGTGGACTTGTGAAGTAATGATTATGATGAAGATGAGACTAGGTATATATAGAGATATATTTGTTAAGTGGGTACTGAATGCTATGATCACCTGCATACAACTTCAAACAAAGAAAACTACAGTTGCGTTATTATATCCGATCCGAGGACTAAGATGGAATGCCTCACAGCGTGTAATTATACCGGCTCTATGTACCCTTCAGACCTGAACACAGCAGTACACGCACTGCTATTTAGCGACAGAAATAGGCAAGAGTATGGCACCTACCTAAACAAATTCCTAGGCAAACCTAGTGTATGAAATGTACATCTAGTACAGGAGTGGCAAACCTAGTGTACGAAATGTACAACTAGTACAGGGGTGCCAAACCAATGGCACGCGTGCCATCGATGGCTCGCGACACAATATTTTGGGCACGCGACCAATCACAAAGTTCACTATGAAGTATTTATTGAAGCGGAGCTTCCACGGCGCAAGATATCGATTCTTTGAAATCTATCTCCTCCGTAATCCGTAGGCCAATTTACATAATTTTTTCGGCAATATTTGTAGTTCAACGCAGACAAGGTTTGTAAACAACAAAAAATCTGAATTTGTCTAAAAGATATTAAAAATAACCAAAAACTAAATTGTCCATGAAAAAATACATGTAAAGCAAAAGCGCGCGCTTAAGGCTTTTACTCCGCTCCGTTTATGATGCTAGCAAAAGGTTTTACCTTTGCGTCTGCATTGGCCCTAGTTAAATTACGAACGAACGCGAGTAATCCCAGTTACATCGTGGTCTACTATTGCTAATGATGCATTGTTCGTTTCATCATCATCATCATTACAGCCCTTCACAAGTCCACGCCTCCCCCAAGGAATGCATAGTTTGTTTATGCATAGCATAATAGTTAATTCCGTTGACACAACTGTGTTTAAAAGTTCATTTGTGTTATATTTATTTTACAGCCCCAATATAAGTTATTTGTCATCTAATCTGCAACAACAGAAGTCACACTAATGTTACTTCCATTTGAATTACGCGTATAACTGAAACATTTATTATTATGCATTGCAAACATCGATCACTAATAAAGAATAGTGATCGATGATTGCAAAACATATTTTGCAATGTATAATAAAAATGTCTCAATTCGTAACTCTTTATTTATTTTTTTGTAGTAAATAAAGAGTTTTGAGTTGATAGTATTTAGTACTATTATTTTGCCAATAATCACAAAGTTCAAACATTTCTTAAACATTTCTTTAGATAAATGGCACGTTGACACATAAAGGTTCCCCACCTCTGATCTAGTATATGTCAATTTACAACAGGTACCGCAGCTGACATCATAGAATTCTTCGACTCGTTCAAAGAACCGAAGGTTGCGACCGAGAAGGTGCTAGTGCTTCTCACGCTAGCGATATGGTCTTGGTCCTTGATGCAGTTCACCGTGGTCCTGACCGCGACCAAGTCCAGGAAGACCAGAGGCACGGCTAATAGGTCTGACATGTACGTATTATTACGATGCACGCCCGCTTCATGACACTTCATCCACAGTCACACTCAAAATACATTGGTCATGGTATACATATATATTTAGTGACATAATTGTAGACTATCACAATAATTAGCCCAGTGAACCTTCTTAGAGCCTAGAGCAGCCAGATATCCATGAGGGTTTCCTCACGATAATAAGCGTGTCTATAGGCCTCGTCATCCACTTACCTTTAACTCTGCAGTGGTAGCACCTTATAAAAAAACGTAAACGGTCGCGTGGATAACGTATGTAGTCCAATTTAAAATAAGAAGAAAGCTTTAAAATATCAACTAAAATGTATTTTTATTTTATTTTAAATATGAAACAGGGTAACATATAGTTAACGGTTAATCATATTTAATAAACAAAAATCATTTATACGTCCCATTTTATTCAAATTATAGTACTTAAAAAAATTACATATTATATATAAAATATCACATTAATTTAAAAGTTACATCACAAATTAGTTTAAATATTTATTTCTAGTCATTTGGTTTCAGAAATATCTAAATTTGAGATTATTTTACAGTACTATTGTAATCCACGAGACCACTGTACGGTTAAGCGGATTGTGCGCTCGTTCATCATACTTAATTAATTAAAAATCATAGAGTAGGTAATTAGACTTAGAGTGATAGTGTCATTCAAAATTCCGTTCAAAGTTGAAGCAACAACGCAATGAATGTGTGCTAGGCAGTATTGACCCGTGACATGAGATTTTTAATTTTTTTTCTATATTATCTGATGAGTTGTGACACCTTTTCACAGTACAGTACGTTATTTTTTTTTTGCAAAATTGCGCGATCTCTTTACACAACTACGTGGACTAGAGTATTGACCATAGATTACTGACTATATACTAGAGAGTATTGACGCGCCGAAAGTCGTACGTAGCCTTTAAAAGGCTAACTTGAAATGGCTTCACTTTGTGTGCGCCTACTGCGGTTCTAAGTCTAATATTTCTATGTTACAAATAAAACTTTTAACCAAAATTAAAAGCCGACTTCCATGAACTAAAAAGAATGAAATATTTTCCACATATCAACTTCTGAATACCGGGTAGTGGCTGTGTATGAATATCCACTACCCCCTATTATTCCGTGGGGTGTTGTAAGAGGCGGCAAAGGGAAACTAAACCAAGAGATGGAGATGGGAAGTAGCATCTTCCTGCTCGCAGCTCGATAAAAACAACTGCGGCTGCCAAGCGGGCCAACTATGGCAAATATCCCCCCTAAGAGACTATCTATGGGGAAGACCTAGTGTTGCCCAAATGCAAGAACAAAAAGAGACTTAGCCAGTCTTGGTCTTGGTCTTGCAGCAAGAGTCTCGAAAGTCTCGTTATTACTTATTAACCTATTGCTATTTATTAAACGTTACTTTAGATCTTAGAACAACTCAACAGAGTAGGTGCATTTTGAGCTTGAATTAACATAGCCATAGTAAAGACCAACTAAATTAATAAATGTCTAAACATTTAATGAGAAATTCGAAAAATCAACTGACACCGGGTGATGGGGTTTGAACCTACGACCTAAGCGATTAGTGCCGTGCCTGGATCCTTCCGGAGGGCTATGTTCAGCAGTGGATTCTTAGGCCGTAACGGTATTAACGTCTGGTGGTGATACTCAGTGTATAAAAGAATTAAGCTCACAAAACAAACTGATGTATACACATAACAAACAATAAGTGGATGCTGTGACCGATATACTTCTAGCATAAATGCGTTGCATAGCATCTATGCGTCGTCACCCCTGAGGACTTAGATGGAATGCCTCGTTTCTAGTAAAAAAGGGTCTCCGGATCTCTACACTCACCATACGAAACACAACAGCCCTTAGCTGCTATTTTACGCTGGTATTCTGTGAGAGCGTGGTCCTGCCCCGATCGTGCGCGTGTGTGCGCGCACGCGTGTGTGAACTTTTGAACGGCTTGACCGATTGAAACGAACTAAGCGGATTTCCAAAGTTTCCAAAAAAAACTTAGATTTCCTATTATTTTTATCTAATTCGTACCGGTAGATTTTGAGAAATCTCAAAAATAAAAATTTTGAAAAATTGTTTTTTTTTGGAATAACTTTTAAACGGGTTTTTACCGATCGATTCCAAAAACTAATCAGCTTTTAACCTACAAAAACCATGTCGATCGTCGCTGGTCCGGTCAAAATCGGTTGATTCGTTCGTGAGATATCGTTAACGAAAATTTTTGAAAAAAATTGATTTTTTTAAATTACTCCAATATTTCATTTTCAGTGTCATAATTTGGTGAAATTTGGAGCGCTTTGCATTTGAAAGCGGGAAGTTCCAGGGTTGGCCTGCAGGGTCAACCAATTTTTTTATTACCCGGATTAATTTTTAATATCTTTAATTTAATATAAAATTGAAAACGTTTACTTATTTTATATATCTTGATACTTGCAAAAACGGCACACCGCTGTGTATATTCCGCCACCTTCCCAATAGACATAAAACTACTTACATATCATGCTTTTCACCGCTTCACTGTGTTTTATGTGTGCATCAACAAATTAAACAACATGTTAAAAGTATTTTTTTTATAGAAATAGCGTGTTAGACGAACACATTGTCCGCCTGATAGTAAGTGGATTTCATAGCCTATAGATATTTACATCTATCGTCGATTAAGAATCGCAATTATGAAGAGTTTTATACGATCTTGTAAATAGATGAAAAAATGTAGATGGTGATAGCTTATAGTTTATATAATCTGTCTATATGTGTGTATGATCGTGGTAGGGACATGCTGTATATATATATATATATATTAGGAGTATAGTTGTAGCACGAATGGGTCGGCTCGACCGGGGAAGGACCACGCTCTCACAGAATACCAGCGTAGAATAACTTAACGCCGCTGTGTTTCGTATGGTGAGTGTAGAGAACCGGATACCCTTTTTACTGGAAACGAGGCATTCCATATTATTCCTCACGGGTGACAACACATCGGCATTTTGATTTGTAATCTAGGATAGATGTAGATGTCTATGGGCCACAGCATCCACTCATCAGGTGGACTGTGTGCTCGTTTGTCACCCTTACTCTGTATAAAAAAATTGCAAATTATATCAGACAGAGACTACGATCTATTTGGGTGATGTGAGGTCCCCAACTCATTACACTGACTCAAGTAATTATTGTTATAGTATCAGGTGAATTATGTGCTCGTTTTTCACCATATTTAAAAAAAATAATTAGACGTTGATATGAGGAAATTCATTATAGTAACTTGTGTGTCTTACCTAGTTCATAGAGCACCTCCTCCTCTATGACAATACCGTGCACTATCACTGTCACCACTAAATTAAATACCACTATCACTATCACCAATACACTAGGAAAGACACACCACCCTCCATAATTCGAAACGAATTTCGCCTCTAATCTGTTAGACGAAATCTTAGCGGTTGGACATTGGAAATATATACTATAACACTCTCCTCTTCACATTCTTCATTTCGTCTCTACTCAATTGTTGGAAAATATCTCATTCATAAAGGCCGACAATCAACATAACTAACGTATTAAAGGTACAGCCTATATAGGTGTCACTGCTGGGCACAGGTCTCATCTTATATCTGAGAGGGTTTTAGGGCAAGGAAATGTCCGCCGCGCTGCCACAATACGCGTTGACGAACTTCATATGTCGAAATATGTTTTTTTCTTATTTCTCATACGTGCGAATTCCTCACGATGTTTTCTTTCACCGCCGAGCACGTGGTAAATCGGCACTTAAAATTGCAATTAACAATTTCATTGGTACCGTCGAAGATCGAACCTGTGAAATTTACAACTAGCGATTAGGCCCTGAGCTACCATGACTCTTAGCTTAGCTCTATAGCAACTAACGTATTAAAGGAGACCGGGATTTCTAAACCCATTTATAATAAGTTGAAATATAGTTTAAAAAAAAACGTTATATTTTTCTATTTCAAAATATAGAAAATTATTCCAATTCACAATCTGGAAGAAGAGAAATCTTAAAAATAAGTTTATGTCACGAACAAAATAAGAAATCGATTACTTTAATCGATTAATATGAATGAGTTTTGACAATTAAACATAAAACCAACTTACAGCAGATAATTGATTCAATCAAAGTAATTACATAAATTACAATTAACATATTGTCAACAGTTTCAAAAATAAAATATCAACGTTTTAAAAATAAATCTTAAAATCGATTATCGTTTACAGTTCGATTTATTACTTATATAATATTGGTAAAAGTAAAAGTACGTAAGAAAATACATCTACCCCATACCATCCGGTTAATTTCGTAAAGGCGACGGAGGAAACTAAGACAGGAGCTGCCAGGAGGATTTTCTGACAACTCAAAATAATAAGTGACTGCAGGTATCGACCTGCCAGCCAAGCTTGGCAACTATAGCACACGAGGCAGTCTTTTGTGGGTGAGGCCGCGTTCACTGTGGACTTTGATAGTCTGTTTGATATCTTGATAATGATGATAGAAAATTATAAGACAATATTATTTTACGAGTATTGTTTCTGTAGTTTCTAAAGTGGCAACATTTACAGGAACGCGAGTCGCGCTTGCTGTTGTTCTATCGAAGTCTGCGCCATCATTATGAACATTGCCTTACAAGACGCGCCCTTCCTCGCCTTTCGTCTTTTGATCATTGGGCACTATAAAATAATAAACTACATGAATATATTCTTCACCTGCAAGAACACATTGGTGAGTAGGAATGGGCTGTAATAGGTAAAATCACATATCTGTTTCACCTGTTCCGGTTCCACATAAGTAACAGTTCCGAAAACCTGTTACAAAATAGCTGTCTGATACCAATTTCCTGGTAGGTACTTCTCTTTCTAGCTAAGGTGTTGAACCTATGCGAGAAAAAGACAGAGCTTGTGACAATTGTAACAGGATGTCTCAATGTAACAGTAACATTTTTTTCTTATTCTAAAAAAGGTAACTGTCATATGTATGAATAAAGTAGAACTAGTGACTGTCTTTTAGTGGATTTGTTATCTCGTGGAACAGGAGCTGTTCTTTCAGTTTGTTTGTCACAGTTACAGTGTGCTATTTTAAGATACTTCCATAGGGTACTTCTCTTTTTAACTAAGGTGTTGAACCTATGCGAGAAAAAGACAGAGCTTGTGACAACTGTAACAGGATATCACAATGTAACAGTAACATTTTTTTCTTATTCTAAAAAAGGTAACTCTCATATGTATGAATAAAGTAGAACTAGTGACTGTCTTTTAGTGGATTTGTTATCTCGTGAAACAGGAGCTGTTTTTTCACTTTGTTTGTCACAGTTACAGTGTGCTATTATAAGATACTTCCATAGGGTACTTCTCTTTTTAACTAAGGTGTTGAACCTATGCGAGAAAAAGACAGAGCTTGTGACAACTGTAACAGGATATCACAATGTAACAGTAATATTTTTTATCTTATTCTAAAAAGGTAACTGTCATATATATATGAATAAAGTAGAACTAGTGACTGTCTTTTAGTGGATTTGTTATCTCGTGAAACAGGAGCTGTTTTTTCACTTTGTTTGCCACAGTTACAGTCTGCCATTTTAAGATACCTGTTTTTTTATCTGTTACGATAAATATGCCTCACTCCTACTGGTGAGTAAAGAGTTTAAAAAGGAAGAGAGACGTTGTAGACGTCTTTATAAAATCACAGCTTAAGAACGCTGTTAAGGTTTAGTTGATTTTTTTTTTGTAGAAAACGAGTGGTACACAGTCCGCCTGATAGCAAATGGATGCTATGGCTCATGTTCCTACATTTTGAATCCTCGATTATGGTTCAAAATGGAGAGACGTACCAGCGCTCGTAAATATACAATGTACAGACACCTGCAATTACATTTTAACTATATGTATAAGTAGTTATCGAAAAAGTCAAAGTTCCTGAGTCTGTCAAAATCATTATGTTATAAGAGCGTCGCGTTCGTGTTAAAAGATTATAAAACGGTCGTTTTTATAAACGTTTAATACAAACGAATTAAGACGACGTCTGGTATTCGCCTTGATATTAAAATTGATTTCGGATAAAAGATTTAATAACAATGTCTAATTTTCATCAGGTAATACTGCTGCAGATTTACAGACTCTATGTATTACATTTAGAATCTGTAGAAGAAGGAAACGGTTCCGTATATAGAAAGAGACGGACGCATAAGTCGGACAAAAAAGACAAGGACAAGAAAAGAGCGTAAGTGAACTTTCACACCAGTACCTAGTGCTTAGCGATTTTTTGTAGGGACAAACAATCATGCAGCTCATCTGATTGATGATGAATGACCAGTGGCGGTGTAAGAATATCCACTACCCCATATCATCCCGTAGGTGCCGTAAGTAGCGTCAGAAGGAAACAAACCAGGAGATCAGCACGAGCGTCGTGCTGATAACAACTAGAAAATTAAAAAGCTAGGGTTACCAACCCGTGTGCCAAGCGTGGCAACTATGGCAAACATCCTTGTTATTTTTTTAAAAAACGTAACCCCTACACTAGGATTTTCTCCTGTATCGTGGAGGCAGTTAGCAAACATACATTGCACAAGGACAAACATCCAGACCGGAACAATTAAGTGTAGACCATACAAATACTTGTTCCGTGCGGGATTCGAACCCGCGGCTCCCAGCACAGCCACTCATTGCTAAGCCACTACGCCACGGAGCCGTCAAATGTATTCTATGGGATAATATATGAATTGAAATGAGTCGTGGTAGCTCAGTGGTTAACGCTCGCTGTAAATATAACAGAACGCGAGTAACCCGGGTTCGATCCCCGCCGGCACCAATGAAATTGTTAATTGCAATTTTAAGTGCTGATTTACCACGTGCTCGGCGGTGAAGGAAAACATCGTGAGGAAACTTGCATGTCTGAGGAATAAGAAAAAAATATTTCGAAGACATGTGAAGTTCGTCAACACGCATTTGGGCAGCGCGGCGGACACTTCCTTGCCCTAAACCCTCTCAGAAATGAGGGGGAGGCCTGAGCCCAGCAGTGGGACGTATATAGGCTGTAACTTTACTTTACTTTTATATATGAAATATAATCTATGTGATAATAATCATTATATAACCTATGTTATAATGTATCAAATGTAATCTATGGGATAATAATCATTATGTAATCTATGGGATAATATAACAAATGTAATCTATGGGATAATATATCAAATGTAATCTATGGGATAATACATCAAATGTAATCTATGGGATAATATATCAAATGTAATCTATGCAATGTAAACAATGGGATAATAATCGTTATGTAATCTATGGGAACGCCTATGTTCAAAGGTGACTTTGAGGGTTGAAGTGACTTTAATACATATAAAGCATACAGGTCAAACTAATAAAATGTCAATCAGTGGAAATAAAGAAATTTCATCTTCCTCACATATAGGCATCAAAAGACAACGAAGCCCAAGAAGAGACATGAAATTGGGGAGACCTCAGTATCCGTGATCAGCGATCCACGTCGACAGGACAGGGTAGATGGCGGTCGGATCCGGTGAGTGTTCAGAAAGGTTACCTGATAAGTAAGTGGATGCTGTGGCCCACAGACATCTACATCTATCCTTGATTAAGAATCAATATGCAGATGCCTTGTCACCCCTAAGGACTACACTTAGCATAAAAAACACGGCAGCATTAAGCTGCTATTTCACGCTGGTATTCTGTTGAGCGTGGTCCTTCTCCGGTTGAGTCGACCCATTTATGCTATAACCATAATATAGCTACAGCATAGCTCTACTACGTATAAAATATTATATTATATACTTATTTTATTGCGTATTGTGAATGCGTTACATGTTTACGTTCTCGGGTACAGTTTACCTTTTACATTAACGAGCCGTTGAATTCTATCACTTAATCTGGTTCTACAGCGATTATTAAATTCTTAATAACCCTAGAGTGGTCGCGTGTAAAATAATCTCAAATTTAGATATTTCTGAAACCAAATGATTAGAAATAAATATTTAAACTGATTTTTATGTAACTTTGAAACTGAACTTGTAACTTTGAAATTAATGTGATATTTTCATATATTAATATGTAAAAGTTTTTTCAAATATTATAATTTGAATAAAAAGGCCATATAAATGGTTTTTGTTTATATATGATAAACCGTTGACTAAATGTTACCCTGTTTCATATTTAAAATAAAATAAAAAAATTTAGTTGATATTCTGAAGCTTTCTTCTTATACGTAATCCACGCGACCATTTACGTTTTTTTATAAGGCGCGACCACTGTAGGGTTCATCGCAGTAGAACCTAAGTGATAAGATTAAAAAGTAATTAAAAACTATTCGTAAACTAATTATCAGAAACCTTGTCAGACATCCATCCTGAGCGTGATCTTTCGTATATTATTTATTACATATATTTTAATTAAGGTTATTTTATGATATTATATTAAATAAGGTTATAAGGGACTAAGATGGAATTATTCGTTTTCAGTAAAAAAGCGTCTCCAGTTCTCTACATCCACCATACGAAACACAGCAGTGTCGAGCTGCTATTTCACGGTGATATTCTGTAACCCACTCGTGTTTTTTTTATTATGTGCGAGCAGCTATGCAGGTCTAGGGAAAGAGACCAGTATTACTGCGACCTAGAAGATCTATTGTGATCGCTGCTATGGCTATAGTTCACTGCTAAGCCCTATGTATTCAATGAATAGAAGGAGTTGCTTAGCCGTGAGCAATTTCACTTGTTCTGGGAGGAGTAAATAGTTTCCCAGATGAGTGTTAAGTTTGCGCATTAGGGGTCCGCAATCAGTTAGGATGCATTTCTTCCGTTATGGAACAGAACCGACACATCCTTGAGTTACTTAGACCCAGGATGAACATGTGCTTTTTAAGACAACAGACGCACTCGTGTTACATCCACAATATAGTTGTAGCATGGCTCTACAACGTAGAAGTGAGGTTTCTATTACGATGTCACCGCACGGAAAACAGTAAAATAAGATACGAGTATAATAAGCATAAAATAGCAAAATGACACCTCTCAATGATGTTTCGTATGGTGAGTAACGAGTACAGGAAACCCTTTTCACTTAAAACGAAGCATTTCTCAATTTTTTTCAAGACAAATTTTTTCAAGACCTCAGGAGTCACAATGAGCCCGCATTCTGATTTTCAATCGATGACAGTTGTAGGCGTTTTTTGGCCTCGGTATTCACTTACAATCAGGTAGACTGTGTACTCGTTTTCGCCTTTACTTATATAAAAATATCATTACTTAATTATGAAACTAAAGTATAAGAACTTAATTAAAAATATAATAGCAACATTTACTTACCTTTCGTTCGCGTTAAGGTAACGCATGTTTCTTAGCGTACTCGGCTCTTTATAAATTTTGTATGGATGAAAGGGCAAACGTGCATATAGAATACGGCTCACCTGACGGTAAGTGATCATCACCTCACGGTAAGTGCTCATGAATGTGGTCTCTCTTACATCATCATCATCATCATCATTACAGCCCTTCACAAGTCCACTGCTGCACATAGGCCTCCCCCAAGGTATGCCACAAAGCACGGTCCTGAGCCACCTGCATCCATCGACTTCCTGCATGTTTTACCATGTCGTTACTCCATCTTGTGGGGGGTCGCCCTATACTTCGCCTACCGGTACGAGTACTACTACATGTACTACTCTCTTACATAAGAGAAACTACAAGATCAATTAAAACCCGCGTTAAAGAACATGTAGCTGATGTGAAGAATCGACGCCCCGGGAAGTCTGCAGTCTGTGAATACATACAGGATCGCCCCCGTCACTACATCAGATTTGATAGACCACAAATCCTCGCTAAAGAACACTCATTCCTTCCAAAGATGATTCGCGAGGCTATTGAAATCAAAAACATCTTAATTTCAATAGAGAAGATGGCTGGGTGCTTGGGATCCTATAATGAATAAAATTAAATCCTAACCCAAGCATACAACTGCAAGCCTTCAAGATCGAAGAAGTTCATACTGCATAGATCGGAACAAACCTTAATAATTATAATCTATGGTAACCGCGGTTAACTATGACTTCTGGACGTTGAACTTCTCAGTCCCTCCGTGACCATGTGTGCTGTAAAGTGCTCTAAACGTCGGGTATAACAAAGTTAGTATACGCGATAAAATTCGTAAAAACTAGTATTATTTAAAAGTGATCATCGTTACCCATGAACGTCTGCAAGTATATTTCTACTTGTAAGTAAAAATAAAAATTATAATAAACTGATGACAGTGCTATAGTCATCAGTACATGAGTTATAGTACCTACTTAGTATGTTCATTGCAACTTATAGTGCATAGATCAGTATTGCCAAAAATATTTGACTTCTGTAATCTTTTTATTTACAAATCTGTGTATAGCGAGGGTGTCGCTGGGTTTGCTCGTCGTCACCTTGACACGGGCGGAATGAATAGCCTAAGCTAGTGACGTGGCAAAAACTATATCGATAAATTATTTTTTAGTTTTTGTTTAATATTTATCGCATATCTTTTCATTCTTTATTATTTACATTTATAAGATGTTGTTAACCATCTACTGATTTTTTCTCTGCCGTCTTTTACGTAATTCACGTGATGATATGGGTAGTTTATTTTCTTAAGCTTAAGCAGTACACGACATAAGAAGGTATTCGTACCTAAATATTATACATCGATATTTAGAAGGAAGCTACTGGCTTTAATAGGAGGGAAATCAGGCTTAGGACCAATATTTTTAGCTGATTGCCGGGGCACAGGGGTGAAACACCGCCAATTTTATAACTCCAGGTTGCTACAGGGAGTTTGAAAATATCTTGACAGAGAACCTAAATAACTAATTTTTGGCCCGATCCGGAATTCAAACCCAATACTACATAATTAGCAGTTGCGCTTGCGACCACTATACCAACGAGACAGTCAGTTATCAGTGTAACTATAATCAGTATAAAAAAATTGTCAACTCTGTATATGAGATAATTTGAAGTGATTGAGAGCATTTTAGTGTAGTGGCGGTGTAATGCTATATCCCATACCGTCCCGTGGGTGTCGTAAGAGGTGACAGATGGAAACTGAAACAGGAGATTGGCAGCAGCATCTTTCTAATAACAACGCGAAATAATAAAAAAATGCGGTTGCCAACCCGCCTGCTAAGCGTGGCAACTATGGCCAAATCCTCCTATGAGACAATTTATGGGGGAGGCCTACGTTCAGCAGTAGACTTTGTAGGCCGTGATGGATGGATGGATTGAGACCAAGCCCTAATAAACTTGTACGGCGATTGACAAGTCCGCGACAAAACGTGACAACGCTGTACAAAGCCGAAGCTACGAGTAACTACCACCGTACTATCCTAAACTTTATGCAGACAGTTCTTTTATATGTATGTATGTTCTCGGAAACGGCTCTAACGATTTGAATGGAACTTTGTATTTATATAATGCTTTATTTTCGAATTTCATCACGAAAGGTGTCACCCCTGAGAAAGTTATATTTCTTTTCTAACCTCGAGTAAAGCTTTATTGCCCAAGCGCTGCCTTGTGCTGATAATTATTGTAGACAAAATGATTCTCCTCTCATTATACTTTTCTTGAGACTTTAGATCTACCACTGGTTAGCCTTTTACATGCGAATTATTTTTTTAAAAATGCTCTAAATCACTTGTCAAGACTTGGCTTGACTTTGACCGCAGAGTCAAATTTGCAATTATAAGGAAGAAGATATTTTACATCTTTTCTGAAATTCACTTGTCTGTACTCTGTATATATGAAACCATTGCGAAAAATGAATCACCTGATATTTTTTAAATTAATATAAAGGATAAATCTTCAAATAATGATTAAATATTAAAATATATTTTGTAAATGAAGTCTTTTTTCTTAAGACGCTAACCAAAATAACGGGAGTATTTGGTGCACTGCACTGGTAATATTACTCTCCGTCTCTTATCTGTTGAATTTGAGCTCCACATGTTTTAGGTTAATTTTTAACAAAGACTAAAGTAAGATTTTTGCCATCAATATGGCCATAATCTTGTTCGTTAGTTAGTTACTTTCCTGTATGCTGACTGCAGGTGTGGTGGTACTCACCTTCTTTTCCAAACCCAAAGCTTCACATATTACAGTTAGTAAATACTATCTTTAAAACATATTACAGCTGTATCGAAATGAAGTAAGTTAAAATGTTATAGATTTATAAATTTTACGTAAAGTGAGAAATGAAATGAGCAAAGAGGAATTAATATGATTCTTTGAAAATATTTTACTATATTAAAAAATGCCGTCATAATTATGCAGTAAATCTTAGAGAGCACGTATATGAATTGGGTAACCTTTAGATAGGATAATTGGAGGTCGAAAATTCTTCGAATTTCAAAACTTAGACTGACGTAAATTGTTATAACGCGATCTGTCAGCTTTAAAGTCTTTTTGTGATATACTATAGTCACCTCTGGCAACACCTCTGGTAGCGGATTGATTCTCTAATACCGACACCACAGCTGTAATAATCATTTCAATAAAATAGCATGAGATATTTTTATCGATATATCATTTTTGTCAACACTAATGTAAAGAGTGTGACCTCGTATAACAAACGAGGCCTGTTTCGATGACCCTTTCCCTATCTACCTAATCGTATTCTACCTTTATATTTGCTTTGCAGTTAATTTAATGCTTTCCTCGCTAAAACTTAACGAACAAAAATTGTTTTTTTCATAAAACTTAAATGATAAAAAAACTTTCAACCTACATAATGGTAAGTGGTCAGTTGTAAATCGCTTTATTAAATTATTATTTACAACATGTGCGGGGAGAGAAAAAAATGAAGAATAGAAAGACATACGCATGTCTGAGTATAGTTACAACCTATTTGCATCCCACTGCTGGTCATAAGTCTCTTCTAATTTCTGAGAGGGTTATTGAGCCTTTAGTTCGTCGCACTTCTTAGGAGCGTTTGAGGACTTCACGTGTCCTGGAAATAATTTATTTCTTAGACATTCCTTAGCAGATAGCTTTGCATGTGATGTTATTTATAAAAGAGGGGGCACTTCAATTTACCGATTTTTTTATGGAAGAGGAGGCAAATGAGAATGCGGCTCGAATTAAGTGTTGACTACCACCCCTAACAACTGCAACACTTTCAAAATGAGAATGCTCTTTCCTTGAAGATCTCTGAGTCGTATCGCTCTGGAAAAATCGCTGGTGTTAGACAATTCCACAAAGAGGTTTTCCGAGAACTGTTTTCCTCCATCGGCTAGCATTGTGAAATATCGTAATTAATAATTTCGTTGCTGCCGTAGATCGTACCCTGGTTGTTCGAACCCGTACCCTAAATAGTATTAAGCAACTTATTTTATTTAACCTATCACTTACCCTATTTATGGCAATTAAATAAATTTGAATTTGAATTTGAGAAATTTACGACGAGCACTTAACCTCTAAGCTACCAGGGCCACTACCAATGCCCATTTCCTATATTCAAGAAACGTGTCCTTCTCCGTAACGACCCGTTTTATTACATACGAAATGTATGTTAAAATATTTCATCAAACTTTTTTTATAGAATATGGGTGACAAATGAGCACACAGTCCACCTGATGGTATGTGGATGCTGTGGCGCATAGACATTTATCTTAGATTAAGAACCAAAACGAAGATACGTTGTCACCCCCGAGGACTAAGATCGAATACCTCGATTCCAGTAAAAAAGGGTCTCCGGATCTCTACACTCGCCATACGAAACACAGCAGCATTAAGCTGCTATTTTACGCTGGTATTCTGTGAGAGCGTGGTCCTTCCCCGGTCGAGCCGACCCATTCGTGCTACAACTATAATATAGCTGCAGCGTGGCTCTACCACGTATGAAAACCGTAATCTATTAATTTAGTGTCTTATGATGACTTTTTTATAGAATGAGGGTGACAAGCGAGCACACGGTTCGCCTGATGTGCTGCGGCCGATAGATATCTACATCTATCCTCTACAAATCAAAATGCTTTGTCATCCGTGAGTACTAAGATGTAATGCCTCGTTTCCAGTAAAAAGGGTCTTCTGTTCTCTACACTTACCATACGCTGTAAATCGTTAAAAGAGCGATGACATTTTCGTCACGTAAACATAGTAACATATAACGTATCTAATTTACATAAATTTTGAAAACATGTTGTAGATATAACAAAAAACAAGGTTTTTAAGTCTTATTTTAAAGAAAATATTGAGTACCATTGAAGTTATTATCATATTTTTTTATATTTTTGACTTTTTTGAGCGGATTTATTTTTTTAATTAAACTAAACTGAATTACTAAAAAATAAAACGTACAGACGCAGATTAAGGTGTACTGAATCTTATTGCAACGAAAGAAAAGAAAAGGTAATCGATCGAAACAATATTTCAAAAAGGTAATGTAGGTAATTGCCTTCAAGACTTGCAATTCTCTATCGCACGATACGGCAATATGAAGCGAGCGTTATGAAACAGATAGCATTTTTGAAAATACCTACTCGCACCGTATATCGGCTCTTCAGAATCCTCTATTTTACGCAGATTTTCTACGAGAGCGTGGTCCTTCCCCGGTCGAGCCGACCAATTCGTGCTACAACCATACTACTACTACTATAACTGCAGCATGGCTCTGCCACGTAAATAAATCAAATGAAAAAAGATTTAAATATTACACAAATAGTTGTACTGGTATTTTTTAAAAAGGGGTTTTTAGCACTTAATTTTAATGTAAAACGGCTCTTAAAAGAAAACAAAGCGTTTTCAAATACACGGCATAAGTAGGTAATTAAAAAAATAAATATAGAAGACATATATCTACCTAAAATTGACTAATTTATTTTTTACTCATTAAATTATTTTAAGCCAGATAACCCTCTTAGAAATGAGAGGGGACTTGTTTTTTTTATTTTATAAAAGAGACGGCAAACGAGCATGCGGCTCACCTGATGGTAAGTGACTACCGCTGCCCATGCACAACCGTAATACCAGGGGAATTGCAGATGCGTTGCCGGCCTTTTAGAAAAGAGTAGGCTCTTCTCTTCCCCTGTGTCCAGATATTTTTACTATTTTACTTTACTCTTTTTTATCTATCCCTCTATGGACTTTTCCTACTGTTAACCAAAGAAACTTTTTTTACTTTACCTTTTCTGTCAAGCTTGTAAAGGGGTTGATTCTGCGCCTAATCTCCGGTTGTGTTGGTTTGCCGTCCAATCAGATTATAAGAGTGAGAGAATGGTGAAGAAGATGGTATTGTCCATCTCCGGTTTCATTTTCTCTATCACCTCTTACGACACTCACAGGGTAATGGGGATTTAGGGTTACCACCGTCACGTCTCAGAATTTCACCAAGATTGGTGGAGGCTTGTGAGGATCTGTAGGTCGACATTAATAGAACAGTCACTTAACTTCAATTGATTGTCTAGAAACTTTATAACAGCTAAGGCGGTGTCCTCTTTTCTTACTGCTGAAGTCCCATGGAACAGCAACTTCTTCCTTCGGCTCCTGCATGATTACTTTGTAATTGTGTCATAAATCTACTGCTCACTGCGATATCAAATATACTCGTTTTCCTTTCAGAGCTATTATCCTGACCAACAACGACGAGATTAAGGAGTTGGAGCTGACGAAACTCTTTAAGGACCAAATAGGGTTTGAGAACGAAAAGAAAAAGGGGTAAGTTATTTATAGTCTCTTAAATCCAGTTATTCTACTTATATTTGAGAAAGAATCATGTCTGTATCTATGAGAGTCATCTTTAGCAACATTCGGATTTTTGTTTTCCTTCTGTATTTATTTACGAAATTTATACACACAGGACAGGACAGGAATGACAGGTATACTGTCTATTTAGTATTTATATGTCTATTATATTTATTTAATTTGTACATATTAGTGTCCAATACATATTATTATAGTATATAGGCTCAGTTTATTTACGTTTTAGCATATAAGTTTTTCATATTATTATAGAATAATGGTGACAAAGGAACATATTCCACTTGCTGTGGCCGGTTGTTACTTCTGAGGACTAAGACGGAATGCCTCGTTTCCAGTAAAAAGATCAACCGGTTCTCTACACTCACCGTACGAATCACAATTGATTTTATGCTGGTATTCAGTGAGATCGTGATCCTTCCCCGGTTGAACCGACCAAGTCTTGCTTCAGTTTAATATAACTGCGGGATGGCTCTACCACGTATACACCACCTCCCGCTGTTCAACAGGAAGAAATCACACTATAGTGATAAGGCTGCATTATTATACATATCTCAGTTTTTTTTATCTCAGAATTTTAAATCTTGCGAAGATTGTGGCACCGCGCCTTTTTTTATAGAAGAGGAGACTAACGGCTTACCTTTGGTAAGTGGCCACCGTTGCCCATAAATATTCGCAACACTAGGGGATTTTCAAGTGCATTGCCAGCCTTTTACGAAGGAGTAGGCTCTTTTATTGAAGGCCACTAAGTCGTCTCAGTCCGGGAAAACGACGACAGTAAATCATACAGTAGTGGCCTGTAATCATCATGCATCATAAGGATAGAATTTCGAGTTCTCTCGCAGTGTACGATGGTGGAATTCAGCAGCTGGAATTAATCCGAATAATCCCTCTGGGAATTTTTGACTTTTTTTGTTAAAGAGGGTTTGGTAGTTTTATTAAACCAACTTCTTAAACCATAGTATAAACCTGATACTTTATCCAAGAATAAATCTCTTTTTGCAGTAAGACGGTGTAAGACGGTATGTCATTTGTATGTATCAATATGGTTATCGTGAGTGTCACAGTTACTTGGTTCTAATCCGGATTTAACCTTTCTTTTATTCGGTTTAAGTTTTTTTAAGGACCGCATAGAGAACCTTACCATATCTCAGTCCTCAGGGGTGAGACCGCATCTGAATTTTGATTCTTTATTATTTAGGATAGATGTAGATATCTATGTACATATACCATGTATGTATATGTACACCACCATGTATTAATAGGAAGTTATTAAAGTGGGAATTGTTCGGATTAATCCAGCCGTCAAATTTCATAAACGCACATCGCAGCAACACTCCCGATACCATCCACACAATCTGGATGCTTGGCAGTCCACTACTGTACAGGTCAGTTAACTAAAGCTGGCATGTTCACAGTACTCACACTTATGCAATTTCTCTATACAGTATGTTTAAAAATAAATGATTTTGGTGCAAAATGCGACTCTAGTCTAAGTGTAGATTAGAGTTAGGTTTTAGTAAGATTAGGTGTGTAAATAAAAAATATGTGTTGCTTGCTATAATATATTATAATTATTACATTATTGTTTTTAATCAGAATCATAAATTAAATCTTCTACCCCACTCAAATTTTCATTGCTCGAAGAACTTGATGTTTCGCCGTCGGAATTTCCTAGTGTCATTAAACGATCTCCATCATTACTTTTTTTTATTATGATGATGCATGAAATAGTTAAAAACATTGTACACTATTTCACGAGATTGTCCTGTTAAAATTTTGCCGGAACCAATTCTTTCAGAAGATATTTTATTCTAAACTCCAAATATGTAAATAATCAAAGGCGCCGCGCGTCGATCACACGTGACTGACGCTAACGGTTGAATACCAAAAAGACCACGCTGTAATTATAAACAGTATCAAAAGCAAAACAATCACTGTCCCCTTCACACTCATAAGCTAGATCGCGCGAGAGAGAGACAGGCAGACTTCATGATGTGCATGCAGTGCGACGTCACGCCAAAGGCTTATTCACAGACACTACACAAGCGCAACGTGTAAATGTGTTGTACGTGCCAGCTTTAGTTATATACTACGTTTCAATAAGAGTTTTCTTCCGCGTACGACCTCTCTGTGGATTAGTTTAACACCGGCAATTTTTCCGGACCGATACGAGCTGGGGACCTTCAAGAAAAGAGCTTACTGCTTTCTAAAGGGCCGGCAACGCACCTGCAATTCCCCTGGTGTTGCTTTCATTCATGGGCGGCGGTAGTCACTTAACATCAGGTGAGCCGTAAGCTCGTTTGCGCCCTCTTCTATAGAAAAAAAAATGTGTATGTGTAACATCAGGTGTGGTTGCATGTCACAGTTATTCTATGTAAAAAGTCACGATTATTAAAATGAATGGGAATGACAAATCGAAATGTTAATATCATACAATTTTAGTTTTCTACTATTAACCGACTTCAAAAAGTAGGAGGTTCTCAATTCGATTATATGTTCTTTTTTTGTATGTATGTTACGCGATACCTTCTCAGATTGCGAACCGATATTAATAATTCTTTTTTTATTAAATAGGTTTAACCTCAAGGGTGGTCCCGTTAACTTTTTAAGAAAAGTTTTCCTCCACTAAAGGTGGAAGATGGGGGAACATAGGATATCTTCGCAGATATAAAACTAATTTTAATGATTTTTTAAATAGATTATTCTTCAAGGATAGTTCCGTATAAATTTTTAGAAGAAATTCCACCCCTAAGGGTCGCAAATAAATAACTTCTTTTTTAGCAATTTGAAGTCAAGTTTTACTTTTTGTTATAAGTTATAATTATCGTTACCGACTTTAGAAAGTTAACTTGGCTCCACGAAGATACTATTTTGCCCAATTTCTTTCTAGTACCGCCAATAGACAGAAACAGAAACAGTAACTTTTTTATTCAATATAGATTGAACAAAAAAGTAAAGTAAAATTGATTCATGACGACTCCGTGGCGCAGTGGCTTAGCTGTGTGTCTGCGCTAGGGGGTCGCGGGTTCGAATCCCGCACCGAATAAGTATTTGTATGACCTACAAATAATTGTTCCACGATACAGGAGAAAATCCTAGTGTAGGGGTAACGGTTTTCGAAGAAAAAAAGATTATAAATAATGCTTACTGAAAGTCACTTTTTTAATTTAACGCTGGTTCGGAAAAAACCTCTGTCCTGGGAAGAACCAGCAAGAAACCCAGCGGGACTTTTAAAAAAAGCAGCTTAGAATCATGCATGTTACAATTAACAACACAAAACAAATTAGAAATATCTTGGTAGCGATCACCCTTCCCAGGGTTTATTATCATCCATAAATACCTTAATATTATAATAACCCTTTTTATACAAACTTAGATTAGAATACAGTTTTTGAACTTTGTGGAGGTCAAATTGTATATATTTAGAAAAAAGAGACATATCTTTTTTTTTTAATAGTCCTTGTTTTTATAGGGCGAAGAAAAAACATAAATCGGAGTCATCTGAAGAGTCACTTAACAACATTCACCACACCACAGATGACTCCGGTATTTGACATCACCGGATACGGCGGGAAAGCCCGCAGAAACACAAAGAAAAACATGACGGTAGACATAAAGACAAGAAGAAGAGCAAGAAAAAACAAGAAAGCAGTGAGAGTGATACGGACAGTTCGAGTTGAACAAAGATGGAATACTTAATTTGGTTTAAAAAATACCTACGTGTCTATGGTTGAGCGAGTTGCCATTGCAGCTATAAAGCTGCTGTTTTGGTAAAAATTTTGGAAATGAGAAACGATATTGTTCGAATTTCGATAATTTTAATCGCAACGTCAATGGGTATTTATTGAATTATAGTATTTGTAATAAAAAAAATTGTTCGAAAAAATGATAATTTCTTTATTTAATCTGTAACTTTTACCTTTTTGTAGTGAAATCAGAGATATATTTAAAAATAAAAAATATTTAGTTGCACATATTTTTATTAATTTCCATAGGACAAGCTTGTAGTAATTATAAGTAGATATATAGCAAACAAAGTGTAAGAAAATGGTTTATTAAAGGGGCATATAATATATGAGCACCAACCATTATGTAATCAAATATACCAAGTAATTAAATATAGGGCAATGTATAAAATACATTGAGTATTATAACTGAAATATAAATAATTTTTTAATGCATTTCTGAATCACTTAGTCACTTAATTATGATGAAATAATATGAGAAAACTATTCATATCTATTAATTAGTAATTGGATACATGTGTGCCTTACAGAGCCTTTTCATATTTTTAATTAAAGCTTATAAGTATATACAAAGTGTTAGAGTAAATTTTAAACTTTTCTGGATGTATTTTGGAGTTATAAAAAGTGATTTAAAATCCAGCAACTTGAGAGAGACAGTTACCACTTGTAAACGTATCTTTTCAAAAATACCTATAGAAAACTAAAACTAGATATATTATATTAGGAATTACTACAAAAAATATAAAAAAAATGTTATAGCAATGCACTTATGCGAAATTTTAAGTGTTGCAAACTAACATTTTTGAGACTGTTTCGTAAAGTCAAAAATAAACTAAATAATAAGGACCGTATGCGGCGTATTGTTAAGTACAAGAGAAATCAGAAATCAAAATCTACAAACTAATATTTTGTACAATGCACATTATTGTTTTGTTCGAGATAATGCCTAGTAGAGAATTTCATAGCAGAAAAAAGTCATAAAGAATTTAAAAAAGGTAAACTTTCAATACCACAGACAAGTGCGCAGATCATCAAGCCATGTAGCACAGAGTACTTTTTTATATAGGGAACCATGTAGTGGGCCGCAGACTAGTATGATACCTACGCGTTAGTGTGCATTATAGAGTAGAGTAATATACATATACAGGTGGGCATTTAATGTACTCATAGCTGCTGAAATTCGTTACTGTAATCTTCGAATAACATTTCGTACCATAAGAGGTGTAAAAACAAAAAGTATGCTAAATAATCAAGTTTACATAAGAGCATAAATGAAACATGACCTATATTAGTGATAAAGCGACTTTGTGCCTTAACAGTGTTATTAATTGAAAAAGTTTATTGTTCAAATCTACATATCAAAGTTATTTTTTATAAATTGTTACTGATAATAAATTAGTCGAAAAAAGATGGTTATATTTAAGTACCTATTAAAAAAATTACAATTTAGCCAGTATTTCAAATTGCTTTAACTATGTATTTCTTATTGTAGAGATGAAGTTTGTTTTAAAACAGTTCTAATCAAACTTACTATTATGCGCACTTCTTATAAAACTTTTAAGGTAATGGAAAGTAAAAATTTGGAAAATCCAAAAGTGCACGCCTCACGCGCTTATTATGTTAAAATTAAAATTAAAAGAGATGAAAATAGTGGCGATATTTTTTACAATAAAAAGAAAACAAAGAATCTGATCGACTTTCATTAATAACTTTTAAACGGTCTTGAGTTCAATAACAAAAATCGATAGGGATCCTCCTTAGAGTGTACGGAATCGTATTTAATACCATATATTAATCTATTGCTTACATTTTTATGAAGCGGGAAGACTCGCCGACGGCATTTCATATATTTGTATTATTTTTTTACATTTTTTGTTAAATAATCTAAACTTTAGTTAGAAATGAACTAATCTTATAATTCAATGTTTGTAGTTATTGTAATGTTATTAATAATATGGATTTAATGTCTTGCTAAAAGTATAAGAAATATTTTATGTATTGAAATTGAAGTATGGCCACATATCGAGAGTAGAGCACTCCCTCACGTGCGTACATTAGTCAGTTATTTATTTTGATATACGTAGTTTAATTTGAGATCTTAAATATATGCATGTTTTAATTAGTTTCGTAATCTTTTTTGTTTTGTTTAAGCGTTTTTTCCGTGCGATTGTTATTCTGTCTCTATTAGAATTGGAGCGTTGTCACGCAAAATCACCAAAATATGGGTTACATGTGTACATTACACATTATATATTTATGTATTTCAAACATCAATACCTCAATATAAATTTTGTGATATGGATAAATTTTATCTAATTACCTCGAGTGTGGTTTAAGATCCCTAAGTAATCTTTTAGGTTGGACATTTTTTTCATGCCCTATTTTTTAGCCTTGTCCAAAAAGTTAGTTTTATTTTTATTTATTAGGGTTATTTTTCTGTATTGCGTTATATAAATTGTTATTACAACCTATAATAATTTAATGAGGATATTAGTTTAGCTTAGTTTAGTTTACGACGGGCTGTTTTCCGCAACTCCACGTCTAAGAGCGTATTTTGCGTGTGGGCAGGAATAATATGCTTATTCGAGCCATGATATCTCCTCGAAGAAGCTCTGCAGTCCCTTGATGTTGCAAGCAACTTCGGGGGAGCGATCCCGGCATGCCGAGATGTTTATGCCTGTATGAAGCGACTTCTGGACATGTCAGCAACACGTGAGCCGCCGTTTCTTCCTCTCCCATGCATGCCCTGCACAGGGGGCTGTCAGTAACACCTATGGTGAACAAATGTTTGTTAAAAGAGCCATGTCCTGTGATAGCACTTGTTACAATCCTGATCTGTGGCTTGTTCAGTCTCATTAGAACCTTGGTTAGACGACTGTTTATTTCAGGTAGGGCCTCCCTAGCTTGTCTAGAGTCTACTAAATTTTTCCAAAACTGAACGTGTAAATTATTGAAGTATCTACGTACCAGTGAACGAACGTAGCCAAAGGAGATTTGTATTATTGGTTCCGGCCAGTTAGGGCCGATCCCCTTCTGGCCAGTTCATCTGCCGCATCGTTGCCTCTAGATCCACTGTGTCCCTCGATCCATTGCAGAGTCACACTGTTGTGCTTACATACCTCATTCAATCGTTGATGGCACTCGTATATCAGTCCCGAGTTCGTCACATTGCAACTCAGAGCTTGTAGTACCGCCATACTGTCGGTCAGTATTCTGATGGAGAAGTCTTTCACCTTCCTAGCATCTATTGCTATGGCCGCTTGGATAATACCCATGCATTCAGCCTGGAAGACTGTGTTCCCAGCGGTGTGCATATGTGGATATTAAGGTCTTCAGAGAAAGCCCCAGACCCCACACCTTCATTTGTCTTAGAGCCATCCGCGAAAATGATCTCCCCTCCAGATGGTCAGTTTCCTTCAATTGTATCCTGTACTTCTTATCGAATACAAATTGTTTTGGGATCCTATCATACTTGGCTTGTAAGATAGGAATTTTTGAGTAAATTCTATCGAATATTCTGTATGGGGGACTCTACTCTTACTTAAAAGATTTAGGGTCTTGAGTCTAATGGCAGCTAAAGTTGCTTCTTGTTGTATATGTAGATGAAGCGGTGTTAGCTCCCGCATAGCCTCCAAAGCTGCTGTTGGTGTTTCCCTTATGCAGCCCGTGGCAGCCATACAAGCTAATCTCTGGTAACGCTGTAGCTTTTGTATAGTGGTGGCTTCATTGGTTTTGGTCCACCATACCAGAGAGCCGTATGTGATCATGGGCCGAATTACAGTTTTGTACAGCCACAGTATAATTTTTGACGTTAAACCCCATCGTTTGCCAATCATGTTTCTGCACTGCCAGAAAGTTAAACTAGCTTTGCTGATTTTGCTTTCTATGTGTTTGTTCCAGTTAAGTTTACTGTCCAATGTAAGGCCTAGTTATTTTACCTCGGAAGAAAGTTGGAGTTTTGTGCTGAAAAGACTTGGAAGATGATAGTTATTCAGCATTTGTTTTTGTGTAAACATTACTATAACCGTTTTATTTGGATTAACGGTTAGGTCATATTCCCTGCACCATCTCTCCACAATACGGAGAGCCGCTTGGGTCAGGTCGCACGCAATGCTTGCTGTCTTACCAGAGACCAGTATTGTCAGATCATCTGCATAACCGACTGTGTAGAAATGATTAGCGTTTAATTTGCTGATGAGCAATTCATTAATAACCATATTCCACAGGAGAGGTGAAAGAACCCCACCCTGAGGTGGATAATGAGGATATTATAAAAATCAATTTAATCTCAATTCCGTAATTTTCCGCCAATTTTATTCAGACGTCATAGACAATTCAGTTTTTAAAGGTTAATTTATGTCGGTAGATTTATATATAACTTCTTTGGTTTACTTAGAAAAACATTCGAAAAAAATAAGTTAAACCAAGCTGTATTTATTTTTTAAAGATTTATAGAAGAAATTAAAATATGTAATAAATGCTTTTACGTGAAATTTAGGAATAATAATTAATTACAAATGATAGATTATAATAGATAATGTTTGTGATTACACAATATTTTGTTACTTTTTAGCTTAAGTAGATCATAAGTCACGCACAAAAATTATTATGATAACGGTGTTGAGTATACTTTATGTACAAATTTTGTAGATTTTTAAATAATAAATAAAACATACGACGATTTGAACAGCGTTCATTTTTTAGTCAGTCATTGCAATACCTTAATATTAAAAAAGGGGATCTTCCATTTATTCACCCTAAAAAGTCCTCCCTGACATTTATACTACCTATTTGCACTAATAATCTAT